CGATACCATTTGTTGTCTTTTTTTATGTTACGTCTGGTATATGCGATACCTTTTTGTTGTGGTTTTTTTATTATCCAATGGTTTATTTCTGCTATATGTTTGGTATATGCAATACCTCGTTGTTGTAGTTTTTTATTATGTTACGTCTGGTAGATTTGTTTTAGTCATTTCTATCTTAAACCAAACAATATATTGTTGAACATAAAGATAAAATATACTGAACATAAACAAAAAATATACTTATACTGCACATATAAAAATAAATTGTTGAACATAAACCAAACATATTAAAACTACGCAATTTATTTCTATGAACAAATACCAAAATATATTGCATATATACATTTTTTTGTGATAAAGAAAATTATAGCGAGACATAGTTTTTATGTATAAAATTAGTTTATATTTAGCATAAAATGATTTTTGTTGTTGTGTTGTTGTTGTTGTTGTTGTTGTTGTTGTTGTTGTTGTTGTTGTTGTTGTTGTTGTTGTTGTTGTTGTTGTTGTTGTTGTTGTTGTTGTTGTTGTTGTTGTTGTTGTTGTGTATATGTATGGTTTATATTAAGTAAGTTGTTATAATATGTTTTTAAATTATATATACACTTTTATGTATAAAAGAAATAAAAAGAAGAAAATATAATTTTTTGATGGAAGACATTTTCTTCAATACAACCATATACTAACATAAACGCAATATATACCACCTGACAACTGCGTGAATTAAGGAATTCAAGTTGCGCACATATACTGAATATATACTAACATATACTCAATATATACCATCTGACAATTGCGTGAATTAAGGAATTCCAGCTGCGCACATATACTGAATATATACTAACATATACTCAATATATACCACATGAGCTGCGTGAATTAAAGAATTCCAATTGCGCGGAATTAAATGAGTTTGTTATTTTTTATAGGCATGTTTTTCATTTCTCTCTCTTATTCAATTCCATTAAAAGGGGGATGGATGTTGAAGATTATAGTAACTGAATTTAAGCATTAATATTACTTATCATGTATTAGGTAAGTTTGTAATTATTTGTTTATGGATTGTATATTTGCAATATTTTTAGAATCATATAGGATATATAAAAATTTCCCTATATTTTTTTAGGCTGAGTTTTTGTAGTTGAACCCAAAACGTTGTGATGCTCTAATATGACATAATTTTCTTGATCAATCACATCAAACTTTGTACTTCAATTTTTGTACAATCAATATAATCCACAAGACCTAATCCAACTTGCATTTGTACTAATAAAAACCCATATTAAACAATAAAGGAAATATTTTGTTAATCATTTAGCTAATTTATTAAAAAAAAAAAAAGAAAAACCATTTTGACCTTGTGACACATCAAAATTAATCAACAAAGTTGTTCAAATATCCTTGTCTTTCTTCACCAAATAACCAAACTATCACTTATCAAAAAAAGCGTTCATTAGAATCGCGTACGTATGGTGGTCTTAGGTCACCACAAAACACAAAATACCTTATATGGCTCCTATTAGAGACCATTAATATTCGAAAAAAAAAATAATAAATAAATAAAATAAAATAAATGTCGACCAAATAAAATTGATTTCACGTGTTAGTTGAGATTGGTAATAATATCTATTAAATCTCCTGGTTTTTCAATCACATAAGGCTATATAAATTCTATACCACACACGCCAGGCTCTAATTATGAACTTAGAAAAAAAAACAAAAAAAAAACGATGTTTTATGGCCCCAATTTAAAATATAGTTGCAACATTTTTATTTTAATTTTAAGATAATCTATTTTGAATTATGTGGAAAGCGGCAATTCTTTCTAACAAATGGAAATTTCCGTAATTGAAATCAGTTTCCAAACAATTTAATTATATCAAAAGAAAGCATGAAATTTCCATCCCTTTACACATTAGAATTATGTGGATATTTCATTTATTTTATAAATATCTATGTATGACTTGCATGAAAACAACTATGTTTGGTGAAAATGGATTCCATCCAAGCTCCTTCAACTCGAACGGTCTCCGTACCTGCAAGAATTCGACACTGGGAGGGGTCCCGGCGTCGGGCCTCCGACGCTCAAGTCAATATCGCTCCAAAACTTCAATTCCCAAGAGTATAGTAATGAAAGTAGGGAGAGTTTGAGAATGAGATACCTTAGTCCCTTTTATACGGGGAGTGTATCTTAGTGCCCAAGTTGGACTTGACTCATATATTAAGTCATGTGTCCTAGGCCATATGCGAGCTTATTCTTCAAAATATTCATTTTTATCCATTAAAGTAGTCCAGTATAATATACTATATCAAACTAGTAAACGTTTTAGTATGAAACGTAAAATATTTTCAGCCATTAACACCTAAATTAGTTGAAATTTTCTGTAACAAAGTGAAATCAACTGAATTATCAATATCCATAAATTTCAAATCCGACACCTGAAAGTGATTAGATTATTAGAGCGTGATTCGATAATTTTCCGTTTCATATATTCAATCAAACTCAAAGTTTAACTCAATTTTAACTGAGCATCAATCTTTATATTATTTGAAACGAGGATGGGGAGTATAGAGTACGCAGTATGGTGTTGCAACACCAGCATATAGAGTACGCCGATTGTGTTGCAATACAGAGAAATAAATTGCGAAACCATGAATATTAAACAAATATGTCTTCGGAGAGCGTCTCACTACCCCTTAAAGCTCTTTCATTGACGCACAAAGTACATCTTAGACTTACTCGACTGAACCTCGCTTTTAGCCTAGCCACCACTCTACCAGATCCTATCAATTACTTCCCTGGCCACAAACACGTTGACTTCAAATATAGCTATGGATCCCTATCAGCTAACAAAGTACTTAATCTTTAAGAACTCAAAAGTGTTTGTAAAAAGATAAATAAACAAACGAACTCAGTTCTTCAGCAGTGTAAGAACGTTGAAGTACTGAGACGAATAAAATAAAAAATAAAAATAAAAAAACTCTCAAACACTCAATTGAATCCGATGAATGAGGAATTTGATTATTGCAGCAACTCTCTTCAATTGATTGTTTGAGTATGCTTATATACAATCTCCTTAAGGGTCTTCAAAATTTCTCTTTTTTCTTTAGAGGTCAATTTTCTTTCTCAATTGATTCATTTGGGATTTGGACGAAAATCTTCCTTCTAGAGTACGTTTCCTTGAAATAGAATTTGTGTATGTGATTTAGAGATCTTAAGAATTGAGTTTCCAATGAAGATATTATGTTTCCAAAATTGTGTTAGAACATGACTTTCCTAAAATAGTCGATCTTCCAAATCTCAAAGATCTTATGGTGATCTTTCCAAATTCTCCTTAGACATCTGTAGAACGTCCAGAATTCTTTATGTATGAATAGCTCATCCTTTCATAATCTTTGTCACTTATTTCTTGTCTTACAAAAGAGAAAATAAATTATGACATAGAATCAAACTCATTAGTGCAAGTGACATATATGGTAAGTGAATGTATAAGATATATATTATGTGAAAATTCTCCTAAAGGATTAGGACTTTATAATACGTATTATAATAAATATATACCATATATTATTAATAATAAATACTAGGAACTTAATTGAATCACAAGTAAATAAATAAAAAATTTTATTTTGATGTTTGCTTTCCTAACAAATAAATCTTCTAGCAAACACTTAGGTTTGTCGAACGATGTCGAGTCAATATTTTTACATTATTAATATAATTAAATAATATCAATCAATTATCTTACACATCATATCAATTTTAATTTACTATTATTCTACTCACATAATTTTAACTAACCATCATTTCACATCATATCGGTCATAATTTTTACATTAAATCTACTTTAACTATTTTATTTAAACAGTATTTTAATATAAATTTAAAAATACACTAACAACTAACATGCTATTCTTTTTCCTTTTTAACTCTATTTAACTAAAAGAATTCATTTTTAATTAAATATTTTATATCAACTTTCAACTCGTTGGTTAACTTTAAAAAAAAAAAAAATTGTTTTGACATGTTAACGCGGCAGAAAAGGTGATCAAGATCATTGACTAATCAATAAATTAAATTGGTTCTTGTTGTTGTAATTGGGCTTATATATTTGTAATTTATAAACATCTTAGGAAAAATACAATAAATAAATAAATATTTACGTGAAATTAGTTTAGTTGAAGTGTTAGACTACTAAAAAAATCATCAAATCCCACCACAAGTTTATTACAACATAATTTCAATGGTGGATTTAATAAATATTTTGATGTCATAATTTTTGTGGAAAATTTGTATTAAATTGGTTATCCATTGAATTATCTGTTAGATTCTGAAGATTTCAAATATATTTTTAAATTACTGGCGAAAAAATAATTCGAACAAAAATTACATATTTCAATAAAATATTAGCAATTTGAAAAAAGTGTTAGTCACCGAATTCTATATTATAGATCTCTTTTGAGAAATTAAACAGTTCATATTGAAAAATAACTTCCAATCTCTTGCACACATCATCAACTCGGAGAATGCTACAATCCCGTTACGGGATGGTTCCGTTGTTTTTTAAGCCGTAGATACACATATAGATCAGTGATGGGACTGTAGTGATGGGACTGTAACCTTCCCCAACTCGGATCATTGCACACAAAATTGTCACTTGAAAGAAAGATGATTTCATTCAGTACACAAATGTACACATTTGCGTATTCCGAAATCAAATCAAATCGCAGTTCATAGCGAAAAACTGCTTTATACCGTTGGGAAAAGTACGTTAACGCCCTCATCGTACGATACAATTGGCTTATTATGATCACATAACTAAGGTTTCTTACACTAGCTAATGAGTACTACAAGAGTAATTGTTCATATAACAAGAAAAATGAGAGGGAAAAAGGAAAAGAAAAAAAAAAAAAAAGAATGATTAATAAAAGAAATACTGGTTGTGGAAAAAATCTGACCAGCATCTCTAGCCAGCAAAAGGATTCGAGTCGAGTCGAAGTTTCTACATGTTATCAATGTCGGGCAACGGCATTTTCCAGTAATTCCACGAGTTATAATCTTCCTGCTTGTGTATCAGTAAAAAAAATGAGAGCTTTTTAACAACCCAGAAAATAAAGAGCAAAAAAAGTAAAAAAAAAAAAAAAAAAAAACCACAATTTTTTTATTTAATCATATTTTAACTAATTGCAAAAACCATCCCTCAGGTTTATATTATCCAACAAACACATCCTGCGAGTCAAATTCGCAAAAAAAGTGAGAATGAGAAAAAAAAATGTCAAGGGGTTGTTTGTAATTTTTTAAATTACAACTGGGTCATTTTTTAGTCGAAACCTCAGGGTGGTTTTTGCAATTTAATCGTACATCGAGTTTGACTATGTAACAAAAAGTCAAACCTGTTCAACCAGTGATGTTGGTGGGAACATATCATTCACAAGCGTGTGTAAAGAAGTATATGATTTCACGTCTATACGGTGATTGATTGCCACCTCACCCTGTAACAATAACAGTGGTCGTAAAACTATTTCACGAACACTTGATCAATTGTCTTCTTTTTTTTTTTTTTGTGGTCAAAATTTACCTTGGGGTTAATTATAAAGATCTTGCCCTTTGGTATCCCAATTTTCCGATAACTAAGTTCATCGGTGTCTCGGTTCCCAAATCCAGCGTAAAATGGATTGTAATCTGGGGGGAATAGTGCCTTAATATCCTGCAAAGAGGCAAAAAAAATAATAATAATAATTACATTTATTAATTAATAATTTTAACTATAATTAAAAAAGAATGGTATAAGTCGACATCCTCGTGTTCAAACTTACCTCTAAGCATGCGATTTTGAATTCGTGAGGGGCTCTTCTTATTACTGTCATCAATAAAGCATTTCTGTTAGATAAAATGTGAAGATTCATCCCCAAGTCTTTTCAATCAATGAGCAAAAATAATTCATATTTCAATAATAAATGAGCAAAAATGACAAGCAAAAATAACTTCTTATTGTCTCATGCTAAGAATATGAAATACAACAAATTAGAGAGCGAATAAAAAACGAGAAAGTAATCCTTCACGGAAAAGGGTCGCACCTTCTCGATACAATGAAGGAAATAAGCCGTCTGGGGAGATAACAACAGGTCCATTGGGTAAGCTTTTGCCATCCTATATACAAATTTAACAAATTTATAACTCATTAATATACGGCAATTTACATCCATATTGTCGAAAAAAAAAAAATCAAAAGATGATACACGAGTTCATAGTAAAGATAAATAGTTAAATACACAAGTTCATAGTAAAGTATACCTGCTTGAGATTGAACAGAAAACTTTTGGTTAAGTAGGCTTGAACGATGGCACGTGCACTCAGAAACAAAAGCTGGTACCCATTCTCCTGTAAGAGAACGGCAATATCGTCATTTCAGATTGTAAAACATCGATGACGACAAAAATTATAGATACCCACAGATTGTTATTAACTTATTAATATCCCCACCTTTATTGCAGAAAAAAGATGCGCTATCCCGGAATGTGTCCAGTCTTTTCCGACCAATGGCATAAATTGTCCGAGAACATCAGACCTAGAAACACGCATACGAAATGAGACACGCGTTAAATGAAATTCATTGACGAAAAAAAAAAAAAAAAAATAATAAATGAGAACTGACTTGGTAATTGTTCCGTCCACATCAGATATCACAATTCTTGTATTCCACTTCCACAAGTATATATGAGCTTCGACCTGATTGGTAAAACATTATTCAATGATTCTCTTTGCACTCCAGAATGAACACTTCATTTCACGACATCCATCTCACTCATTTTTTTTTTATAATATTGTCTATTAGTTGTCCCGAGAAAAAATTTGTATAGTTTGTAATGGTTTTGAAATTTTCGGAATCAAATTACACAATCGAGCAACTTAAGAACAAAGGGTAATGTTGAAACTAAAGGGGGTGTATTCGTTAGGGATTTCGAGTGCATTTGAGACTTTTTAAGATTTTCATAAACTGGAGTGGAATACTATGAAATCTTATGTCTGGATGTAGGATTTGGAGTGTGATTTATTATATAGTTTTTTCTTTTGAAATCCCAACAAACCTTAAAAATTCTTAATAAATCCTAGTCTCAAATAAGTTAAATACCTCAGGATTTCGTAAGATATTTTAAATTCTCGAGACTTTACGTTTAAAAAAAAAAAAGCACACCCAACCAATTAAGAATGACAGAATACCTTCTGGCATCCGAGCACCCTCGTCGAGAAAATGAAATTCACCATATTCTGCCCCTCCCTAAGATTCATCGACGCTATCTGATCTGTAGTCGGCACATTGGTCCTCACAATCTGCTTCCGCGGAGAACGGGCCCTGTCCTGGGCCCGAGGAGTCGCAACATCAGTTGGGCCCGACGAGAAAGAGCCCGTATCCACAAAAGCATCCTCATTGGAAGACCCACTGCCACTATGCTCGAGCGTTTTGACCCTCCTGAACGGGATTGGCCATAGCCTCCATCTACGAGATTGGGGAGTAGTCGAGACTCCCGACTCGTCTTCTTTAGCTTCAGGGCTCTCTTTCTCGACTGTGATTGCATCATTCAGGTCCACGGGTAGTTCGAGACCGAATGCCGCCATACCAAGAACTATGTGTGATGCTTTCTCCCAAGGTAAGTATTTATCGTCTTTTAGTCTAACAATAAGGTCCTCGTTTTTCACAATCGACGAGGCCGAAAGTTTGAATTCTTCGCACAGTACGCGGTTCGAGTGGAAGACCTCTCGGGCTGCAGCCAGGCCCATTCCGGGATGAAGCAGCTTTCCACACAGTGATAACTCAAGTCCTGTTTAATAAAAAAAATATTACAGTATTCGACTCAAATAAATAGTAGTGGCATTTGAAAAATACATCAAGGAGTATCTGTATTTTCAACAGATAATTGCTTATTTTTATTAGAAAAACCCACAAGCATAAATTTTGAAATAAATCCTATAAAAAAGACGATATTTCTAACCTGTGGATGCATCCAACTTTGAATGTTCAATTGAGGCGTCCGCACTAAGCTCAACACTATCATTAATGCACACATCAGAATCCGGAGATTTCAGTTCACTCCTCGTTTTCTCGAGCGTAGAATCAATTTCCACTTCTTTCGGCAATTTATAATCGACGATCGGAAACTGAACAGGCCCATCACGGTCAGCATCCGAAATATTCTCTTCATGATTTATTACCTCTTCAACCTTTAACTCTCTCGAAGAAACACCAGCTTCTTTTTCATCATTTTCCCTTGATATTTCAAGATTCATAACTTCATGTTCATCGTTTTTCTTCTCTTCGTGATCGTCATCTGTCGAGACTATTAGTTCCGGAAGCTCCAAACAGCTCTTAAACACCTCGCGCCTATTTAAACCATGACGACCTCTTTCTGAACCACTCTCCCCCACACAAACCTCTTTCTCCATATTTCCCTCACTAATAACATTTTTATCGCTAACATCACATGTAGAAGCATCAAACCCGTTCAAATAATCGTCCGTCCAAGATTCGTCAACCCTATTGTATTCCTCCCCTGGCCCGAGATGAAATTGAGGAGTGCCTATTTGCACGTTCTCTGCATTTTTCGCAGACGATATGGGAGCCGTTAGTATGTGCCCATCCACACTCACTAAAACAACCTCCGAACTCGAATCTTGAGACTCTAGGGCACTTTCGACGCTCTCTAAATTCTCGTACCTACCCGACCCGTATTCTGAAAATTCAACCGAGCCCTCTAAGGACGATTGCTCGTCTTGAAACTCATAAAATATTCTTTCAGCATCCGACTCAACTCTCTCCAATCGGTCCATACTCTTTTGGTCAGGAAATTCGTTCTCCTTCGATCCATTAGGGGCATTATCGTCCTTTTCTCCTTCGATCTTCTCCTTGCCGTCAGAGTCAACTTCCCGGACGAAATAGGCTTCTCCCGAGTTGTCGAGGTGCATGTGGAAATCGGCCTCGACCCCATTCACTTCGATTCTCACGAGCTTTTCGGCACCTTTGAGCACGCCTTGGAATTTACCAAAACGGACATACCAAGGGGTGCTCCTATAGGACCCGTCGTTTTGCTTAACGACGATTATGTCAACAGCCCCACCAAACGGGTGGAATGGAGTGGCGACCGAGTAGACGCCTTGGGTTATAAAGCTTCCAACTTTGCCAACTACGTTCATTTCTCTTAATCAAAGATATCCCCCCAAAAAAATATACCTCGCAAATAAAAAGAAAACAAAACAAAAAAAAGGAAACCAGCTATTTTTACAGATTAAAAGGGATTTCTTGAAATCCCTAAATCCAATATCAGCAAGAATACATTCCGATCATCGATGCCCACGAAGCCCAAATCTGAGAAATTTTCAGTTTCTTGCCACTTGGGCAGTCTGCATGCAAATACAGTGAAACTCAATACACAAACTGATCAAATGAAACATTTTTCTAAACTATTTGATCTGCCCAGTAATAGCCCATCAATAAGGGGGCGAAAATCGAATAAATCAATGAAGTATGCTGTAATCGTTGCTGATCTACACTTCAATTATAACTTCAATTAGTGATTTCGGAGCCCTAAATTTGCTTGAATTTACCTCAGACATTTTAATTGGGCGGAGAAAACAAGAGGGGCTGATTCGAATCAGGAAAACGAATCAATTTCTGTCCAAAGCGCAATATAAATGCAAGAAAAACAAATGAAACTTACATAATCCTTAAGAATTTGCGAAACTCCCAAGTGGAAAATTTCAATCTTTCAACGGATTTGACGGTTGAATTAGTATGTGCTCAGCTCGAGAAACTCAATGCAATCCACGAGCTTATTTTTCTTTGCTTTATTCTCTCTCTCTCTCTCTCTCTCTCTCTCTCTCTCTCTCTCTCAAGCGGTAGGTGATTTTGTGTTGAATTTTCTTTTCTTCTTTATGGCTGTCTTCTCGTCCTTGCCAGAATTTAACATTTCTGTAGATGCATCCATTTAAGAAGTTATTATTTTGAATAATTTTTTTTTTTTTTATTTTTTTTTTGGGGGTAGGGGGGTTTGGTTTAATATTTAATATTTAATTATTAGACGAATTGACTCGTCATATATTTAATTATTTTTAATTATGTATATTTATTGAAAGATTACTATTATGTACCCCGTGCGATGCACGAGATAAAAATATTTAATGAGTTATTTCAATGCTTTGTCCGTTTAAGTATATAAAGCAATATGATTATCATATATTTTTCATCTCTTTTAATCACCTTTAAGTATAATAAACAATAAGGTTATAATATATTTTGCATCTCTTTTAATCAACGTTATTTTTTTAGTCAAAATATTAAAATAATTAATATATTATTTCACTAACACATTTATCTCAATTTAAATTTGATTTTAATATATATATTTATTCCTTGACACAAGAGAGAATAACAATTTTACTTATTATTGTTCACCATATAATACATAATTATTATTTTATTATACACTTTATGTCATATAATGTCATTATTATTTATAAAGTTATAGAAGTTGTACATCTTCTTTATATTTTTATTTTATGTAATGAAAAATATTTAATGCAAGTTTGCATTATTTATTTATGTAATCAATTTAAAATATGTAAATAAATTTAATATTAAATAGTGTATAAATATTTTACAAAATATACACATGTTTTTTTAGAATTTAATTTTATATACTAATTAAACAACTTTGATTTAGAAAATCCTAAAAACTCGATCCCCTATATGATCAAGATTTTTCTAGTTCGCATTATAAAGATTTATGGTTTATTTAGCATACTCAACAATGAAAATATATTTTACAAGAATTTAATTATAGAAATAAATCAAAATAAAAAAATGAAAAATATAGTCATGGGTGCCAATAATATACAAATAAATGCTAAACAATAATTAATATGTTTCAATTTAATTTTTTACCATTAGTAAAACTAATTATTGTATCTAGTCATTATCTCTTAAATGGTAAATTATATTAATTTGAAGAACGATTTATCTTTTATATTTAACAAAATAAAGGTTAAGAAACAAATATATTGACAAATATTAATTCACCAATTTTATTTTGTTTGATTACTTGGATAAAAAATTCTACCTAATTTTTTACGATTTTTCATAAATATTTTTGGATAAAAAGTGAATATTTGTGAAAAAAACTTATATTATTTAAAATATGGTGTAATATTATCTTGACCAAAATATTATCAACATGGATCACATAAATCAATTTTGTAATTCATTATAATGAATATCAATGAAAGTATTACAAATATTAATAAAAATAATATTTGTTTTGACCAAAATGTTATCAACATGAATCACGAAAATCAATCTTGTAATTTATTATAATAAATATAAATTAAAATATTGCAAATATTAATAATTTATTTAAGTAATTATTTGATCTTATTTGATAACATGTAAATAGAAGCAATTAATGCATATATAAAAAAATTTCCAAAAATAGCATGCATTAAATGTTTCCTAAATTTTTGCTACTATTTTTAGTAAATGTTAATTCTTTTTATATAGATATAGATATTGATATTTAGACAATATATTAATAACTTTAAAAATATACTATTTCATTAATTCACTATAAAAAGATAAATGCAAGGAATTGGAGACTAAACAATTCTATGATTTCTATCTATATTATGGAAAATTTCAAAGTAAATATATATGAAATCAATGTATAAACGCTTACGGTATCATTCGTCGGGTGTTAACTGTTGGATCCATATTTAGTTAGATAAGATAGATGATTCAACGGTTAAAATACATGACGACGGGTAGTACTGTTGGATCCATATTTAGTACTACCTCCTATTCTTTTTAAATGTCATTTTGGCATTGTCACTATTAACAAAATAAATTTCGTTTTGGCTATTTTGTACATATTTTCTCATTATTACCCTCATCCATTGTTCGAAAAGTCGGTCTAGGCGGCCGCCTAGGCGGCGGTGCGCCGCCTACGATTTGCTAAAATCGGCCATAAAAATCGGCCAGGCGGGCTAGTCGGGCCTAGGCGGAGCTAGGCGGTCACGGCGGCTACGCGGTTTCGGCGGGACTAGGCAGCTGAGGCGGATTCTAGGCGGCTGAGGCGGGTTCTAGGCGGCTTTTACAGTTTTTCTTTTTCTTTTTTTTTTTTACTAAATGCATATATTTTTTTTATTTCTTATTTTGTTATTTATGTGTTTTATTGTATTATTATTATATGTGTTAATTTAATTAGTTAATGATTAGTGAATTTAGTGTTTAGTTGGTTTTTAAAATTGTCTTATGTTGTGTAATGTTTAAAACATAACATGTAGATAATGTGTTTGATAAAATTATAATGAGAAGAAGTTATATTGTGGTTATGTACTTATTTTGACTTGGAGTTTGTTTTATAATATAATATTAATAATATTATTGGGACTTAGGTGTATGGATTTATTAATTATAAGTTATAATTTCATTAGTGAAATTGTAAAAATAAATAAAAATAATATATTTATTAAAATTTCTAGGCCCCGCCTAGACCCCGCCTAGGCCCCGACTAGGCGCTCTAAGCGTTAGGCGCTAGTCGGGCGCCTAGCGAGCGCCTAGCGACTTCTAGAACACTGCCCTCATCTAGCTAATAAATACACTACGTCTTTTCATATTCACTCTTCATTTTTCTCAAAACATTCATCTCTATCATCATCAATGAGGGTTATTATTGACAAAAAAATATATTTTTAATAACTATGCAACTTCTCAAAACGACATTTATTATGAATAGGAGGGAGTATATACTAATAAAAAAAAAAGGATTCATGCAAATTGAATGTACTTATAAAAATGGACAACGTCCACTTTTGGTCCTCCATGTTTAGGGGGTATCCAGACTGAGTCCCCATTATTTTTTGCTGCCCAATTTTAGTCCTTAAAACAAAAAAATGTAGTCCCTATTATGTTTTGGTGCCCAACTTTAGTCCTTAAAACAAAAAATGTAGTCCCTATTATGTTTTGGTGCCCAATTTTAGTCCTTAAAACAAAAAATGTAGTCCCTATTATGTTTTCGTGCCCAATTTTAGTCCTTAAAACAAATAAATATAGTCCCTATTATGTTTGGGTGCCCAATTTTAGTCCTAAAAATAAAAAAATGTAGTCCATATTATGTTTTGGTGCCCAATTTTAGTCCTAAAAACCAAAAAATGTAGTCCCTTAACCTCAATTTATGTAAATTAACGGTCCATTTTTGTTAATAACATCAAAGTAGTTGTGTAAAATAATTTAAAACATCGAAAAGATATAATCAAATTTCAAAGGAACAAATTATTGAGGCACTGGTCATGGACAAAATTGTCATTTGCGAGTTCTTCAAGCAGTTCCCCAACAGCCGGACGTACGACGACCCAGGAGGCTCGTCAGGGAAATGCGCAAGGCACTAGAAAATGAGCCGGACCCACTCACGGGCGAGTGGATGGATTGTTGTGTGCAGGGTATGTAATATAAATATATAATTTTATTATTTAATATTTAATAATTAATAATTATGCAATGAATGTATCATGATTTTTATAATCAGGTCAATAATTTGTTCCTTTGAAATTTGATTACATCTTTTCGATGTTTTAAATTATTTTACACAACTACTTTGATGTTATTAACAAAAATGGACCGTTAATTCACATAAATTGAGGTTAAGGGACTACATTTTTTAGTTTTTAGGACTAAAATTGGGCACCAAAACATAATATGGACTACCTTTTTTTATTTTTAGGACTAAAATTGGGCACCCAAACATAATAGGGACTATATTTATTTGTTTTAAGGACTAAAATTGGGCACGAAAACATAATAGGGACTACATTTTTTGTTTTAAGGACTAAAATTGGGCACCAAAACATAATAGGGACTACATTTTTTGTTTTAAGGACTAAAATTGGGCACCAAAACATAATAGGGACTATATTTTTTTGTTTTAAGGACTAAAATTGGGCAGCAAAAAATAATGGGGACTCAGTCTAGATACCCCTAAACATGGAGGACCAAAAGTGGACTTTGTCCTATAAAAATACGAAACATACCACTGCAGACAACGCTTGAACAAAGCATTTATTAGACAAGATTAGCCATTCAATTCAAGGCTCATATATTTAGCCTCATTTTAAAAATAAAATTAAATGAATACATTTAATTTATA